ACCTGAGGCAAACCATTTTCTGCATGACCTCCAACAAGTAAGAGATTGGGAGCTAAGAAAGGAAGCTGGGAGGTGTTTTTCAAGAAATAGATGTTGATGGGTTTGCAGTACCAAGACTGTCTGTAAGAACCCTAAATGTGGATGTTGGAACTGGAGACTTCCCGTGGGGAACAGCTGCTCAGCTGGGGACAGCATGGGCTCTGCTTACCTGTGCTTATTGCTACTGGTGGTAGAGGGGAAATACAACATAATTCTGGAAAAATTCCCAGGGATTTATCTCTACTTCAGAGGGCTCAGCTGGTCAGAGCTGAGGAGCAGAAGTTGGTGCTGATTTGATGGTCTCTTAATGACTTGTTCCGTGTTTACTCCCTCACTGCTCTCTGTCCATTTAGGCACACCTGAGTGACACAGCAAAGAAGGCTCCTCATGACAAATTGCCCCTGCTTTTCCAGCTGACCAGGGCATTGCTGTGGGTTGTTCTCTGCTGTGCTGCTGCAGCGGATCTGTTGTGCTCTGAGGAGGTGGTCACCTTTAAAAGAGCTGGTTCCTGACGGTGCCAAGCACCCCTCAGTGCTGAGCCCACGCCATTGCTTCACCAAAAGAAGTGACCACAGCAGGTAAGCAGCGCTTTAACCACCTCTGTGAGCTCAGGGTGCCCTTGGGAGATGTCTTCAGTGTTGACAGTGGCCATGTGTTGAGGTACCCAGTTTCTAGAGCTGCTGAGCTGTTGAAGTTCACACCCACTTTCTGGAACAGATTTCTCAGAGAGGCTGTGAAGTCTCCCTCACTGGAGGTGGAGGCAATCCTGTGCCATGTGCCTTAGGATGACCCTACTGGAGCAGGAAAATGGGACCAGATGACCCACTGTGGTCCCTTACAACCTGACCCATTCTGTGATTCTGTAATTGTTGGCATTAGTGAGCACTCAGTGCTTCTGAAAACCTGCATTAATTAGCCTCTTTGACATTTTAAACAACCTTTACCTTCAACTGAGTGTACAACTGCAGTAATTAGAGCAGGCCAGCACTGAGGGAAAGCAGTGTGGCCCAGTCTGTGTCCCTGCAGCTGAGACCTCTTCACTCCTCCACCACTGTGGCCTTACCCATGTGTGACCACAATCTGAGAGTTGGCACAAGCCAAATCCAAGCCAGGGAGTGCACTTGGCACAAAACCAGCATTGTATGACTCCCAGACAGGGCTTAGATCCTGGACATGTTAAACCCAGGTGAGTTCTTGAAGATCAAGATGGGCCATGGGAAGCTGTGTGCTGCAAACCCCTCTATCCTTCTGCAGCGTAGAAGAGGGAGAGTTGGTCATGGCCAGATTTCAATGACAAACCACAGGAAGAATCTCACTGCTTTACTGCTCTCTGAATTTTCAGGAAGCGAAAACAGGGGGAAATGAATCCCTGCTCTCCCAGCGCTCCCAAATCCATCGTTGCAACACTGCTGGCTTTCTCCCAGGCAAAGGCCAGCCACAGAGTTATCTTCATTTTTAATGGGTCATGATGGGCTTTTCTGTGATTCATTTGAATATTCCTTGGGTCCAGCTCAATTTTCTACCAACATCAGTCCCGAGCCAGGCATTGGATTCTTCTAATGAGGCCAAGAAGCTACAGCAAAATTTAGAGCAAATGGGAAAAAAGCAACTTTGGTGACAGGTCGCTAACAGTTTCAAAGAGCAAGAGCCATCCTCCTTGGCAGGCTGCCCTCTCCTTCCCTTCTCTCTGTAATCTGTCCTGCAAGGATGGGAGATAAGTCAGTGGCAGATCCCTCCCCTGGACTGATAAAAGGGGGTTTAATTTACCAGTGTGTTGTCTTGGCACTGTAGAGCTATATTAGAATGATGACTCCCCTCACGCTCAATACACTTCCCAGCCTTATTTATAAACTTTAAAAAAAAGACGCTGAGGATTCGTTATCCTTTTGATGAAAATGGCACATATGTCTTGAAGTTTCTCTTCTTTAACACCCACAAATATTTTGTCTGATGCTCCATCTTCCATTAAAAAAAAAAAAAAAAAGAAAAAAGAAAAAAAAGTGTCATTTTCCTGAGGTTAACCTCCTGCTTTGTTAGAAAAAGAAAAAAGAAAAAGCAAATTATCACATCTGTAGATGGGAAAGCAGAGGCAAAACGAGGGCAAGAGACCTGTTCTGCAGAGCAGGAAAAAAGATCACATCACTGATTATCACAGTGGTAATTTGATCACAAGTCCTTTAACTTTGAGGGCGGATTAGCTAATGATGCAATTAGCAAGGAAAATATCCATATTGCTGCTTGAAATGTGCCGGGCAAATCTGTCACTGATTTTGTTATGCATCTGTCTACCTACAGCAGGGGTCCACGCAGTTTAAAAACCCCTTTTTGCTTACCCATATCCTTTGAAGTTAAAAAAGAAAAAACACCCTCAATGGCTCTTTCCCTGAGCCCCAGCATCGAGGGCAGGGCAGGATGGACTTTGTTCTCATCAGCATGGTAAAAAAATATGCTTTTTTTTATTGTTATCTTCCTGAAAGAAGATAAATGGCTTTTTATATAAGGTTGTTCTGCCTTTCTTTTTGTCAGATTCTCCTGACAAACTCCTGCATCCTTTGTCCAGTGTTGACCACGCTTGCTGGAAGCACTGAGCTCTCAGCAGTAATTGTGTCCATATGAGTTTTGTGTAGTTTAGACATAGTCAGGAGAGGCAGGAGACAGTGCCTGAGGGAAGGAGCAAGCCTTGGCAAAAAGCCTTTGGAAATGTGGAAAACCTGGGAGGGGCTGGAGATGGAAAAAACCAAAAAAACAAACCCAAGGAACCAGAAGATGAGCCCAGCTCACTGTCCGTGCGTGGCTGGTGCCACTGCAATTGGCTGAGAAGGGCTCACCAGCAACTCCTGGGAATGATCTACTGGTCAGAAATATCCATCTACTGATTTTAAGGACTCGTGAATGTTAGAAATTAGTCAAACTGAGGAAAAGACAAACAAAAGCCAACCTTTTGTGTGACTCTGAAAGCTCCAATTTCAGAGTTAGAAAAGGAGGGGGTTTGTAGGTGCACAAGTCTCCAAAACTTCTGAGGTCAGAGGGTTCCTCCTCTCAGTCTCAGCTTCTGCTTCCTCCAGGACAACTGACTGGAGAGAGGCAAAGAGTGGTTTTTATTTGTGATGTTTTTCACTGAACCACAATGGGAGGTGGTACAAGTGAGACCAGGAGGGTGGCGGCTCTTTGGTTTTGACTGGAGCTCTCTGACAGCTGCCAATCCCCCCATAATTGGGGTTTCTAATTGGGACAGGGAAACAAATGCCTGTGTGCTAATCCTATTAGAGAGGGAGGCTTAAGCCTGGGTGTCTGTCAGCACCAAGCTGTTCCCCCAGGCCTTGGTAGCGCTGACTTCTTAGCCAAAGCTTCCTGCTGTGTAGGAAGTATTGAGCAGAGCAAGGCCTGAGCTCTTCCCATGGTGCTGCTCAGACCGGCTCCGGGGCACAGAGGACGAGGTCACCGAGGTCACCGTGTCATCACTGCCAGCCCAGGTGTTAGAACAAGGAGGAGAGAGCTTGACTGTGCCTTCAGCACAGCCCTGCCTTAGGACTGAGTGCCAGAATGGAGCCGTGCCCTGCATGCCATCGTCTGCACCTCGACTCAGAGAGGACTTGAAAACCTGTTGAGGAAACTGCCACCTCCTGCCTGAAGTTTTCCCTGGAAGCAGGGGCATCAGCAGCCACTTTGGGAAGACTGCATTTGTTGTCCATCAGCTGCACCGTGTCCTGTGGGAATTTAAACACCCCAGACTTGGGTTGATCCTGAGCAGAGGCCAGTAAAGAGACGCTGGATCCAGGCGAAGCTGATTTGGAGAGCAGACATGTCTTAACAGCATTTCATTTTCCACTATTAGAATTGCACGTTGACAGATTTCAAATTTCTAAGTCCCAGTAGCCTGCTTGGAAGTGGTATGTCTTTATCAGACCAGTTGTGGCCCTTCTGGAATGTCTCACCGGCTTCATCCAAGCCTTGTGTTTGGAGTACGTTCCTGATGAAAGCAGATTGGGCCTTTGGGGAAGGAAGGGCTACAAAGCATTTCCTAAAGCACTTTTCTCGAATTGCATTGTGAGAAAATACACCTGAAGGATGAGATTAGGATTGAGGCAAATGGGATTTTGGTGGATCAGTTCTTCTCTGAGAGTATAAGAAATTTAGGAAGTCCAAGTGATGAGCCTGAGGTAGCCAGAGGGTTTGACACAGAGGTTTCACCCTTCCAGAAATATAAGGCATGAACTTAAAGCTAATGTTAATTTGCTGACATCTTTTTATTTTAGGAATGCCTTAGAGCTGTTTTCTTCAATTATTTTGGAATGTGAACCAAAAAAAAAAGCCATTCAGGCTGAACCAGAGGGATAAACTGCCCATCTCCCCAGTGTAATAAATACCAGCTCAAACACAAACGAAATCATCTCTCACCAGACAGAACCTACAAATGTTGTGCCATAGACTTTCTGCTGCCACCCACACAAGAAACCATCAGGCAGGAAATTAAGGACATGAAAAACAGGTTCCTGCAGTAGTAAAGCAGAGCTGGCTTGATGGCTGACGCAGGATGACGCCAGCACTGAGCTCCGAGGAGGAAAGTGTAGATGCATCTGAGTCACCTTCCTCCTGGCACCATCAGCCTCAGTTTAAACATAAAATATTTTGTAGCTATTGTTTCCACTGCTAAAATTCTTTCTCTGCAGAGGTTTGGACACGTCTCGTGTGTAAGTGGTATCAACTGGGTTTGAGCTGCTGCTGGGGAAAGCACCGTCCTTCACCTGCCTCCAGGTGTGGGATTTGGCTTGCCCAGGTGATGCTGCTGATGGATGTGGGGAGAGGGGATACGCAGAGAGGTTATAAATGCTCCCCCAGAGCTATAGCTGGGTGGTATAGGGTATCTTCCCCCCTCTGGCACAACTTACTTCCAAGAAAGCTGCAGAGGATTTTTTTATGGTTTCCTTCCCCATCATCTCCAGCTCCCCTTCAGAGTGTTTCATGGTGTCTGAATGCAGCCCTGTCTCTGGGAGGATGCTGAAGGTCAAGGTGATGGCCTGCCCTAGCTAATGCCATGGGAGATTCCAGGCTTCCCAGCCCTATCTGCAAAGCCCACCAGCAGCATGGACCTGGAGGAGCACCGCTCGCTGCTCCAGAGGGGAGTTTCCCAAAGGATAATCAGGCTCAGAGATAAGGAGTTGCTTGCCTATTTCACTGTCCGCTTCTTGCATGACTCCTTCAGTGCCACCTGGAGAACTTGCTGCCTCAGAGAAGCTGGAGAGAGGAAAGGCTGTGCCATGCAGCAAATGGCTGGGTAAGTGCTTGTTTTTGCCTCTTCTTAGCCTCAGCATCGTGGACTTACCCTCAATTGCATAAAATAAATGGGCAGTGCCAGTTCTGCCCTGGAGCACCTTCTTCCTGTGTAACAGGAGTCTTGATAAACCAGCTCTACAATCTCGTTGGGCCAGTGGTGAAAGCCTGCCAGCAGGGTGGTTGTGGTGAGCAGGGGAAGGGCGTGGGTGGGGACTCAAATATTCCTATGTCTCCATCAATATACCTGAAAAAGGAGAGGGGCTCATACAGATAAGCTGCCTTGAGTGATGATGAAATCTAGTTCAGGCTAAGTGCAGAAGGCACTGGGAAAACTGTAAGCCTTCTTGAAGGATCATTAGGGTAAAAAAAAAGCCCTCAGTTTGGTTGTTTAAATGTAGAGAATTTGCTGGGAAACTTAAAATAACATGTTTGTTATGGCTTTGGCTGAATTGAGTAACTAAAGTTCAGAGCAGGTGGTGTAACAAGGTGGAGGATCTCATGCTTATTTGCACCTGCTGTGCATTTGGCCCACTGCAGTAATGATGAAAAGGATGAAATGTAGTTTTTCATGCTTTTCCTACCCCTGGAATGCTTCAGTAGATGTACAGTGAACAGCTGCAAAGCAAAACATGTTCCTACCTGCCAGCCACTGCAAACCTGCAAAGCTGGTGTTGTATGAATGCCAAATTACCCCAGACTGGGACAATCTGCAGCAGATACAGAACACTGCAGAGCAGGAAGAAAAGACCACAAAGCTTGGGGGTGAACATACAGGTCTGACAGTAAGAACTGTTGGAGCCAGATTGAGTCATCCTCCATCCTGCTTCTTAAATCTTGGCTTTCCTGGGTTTGCCTTTACCTCTGGTGACAGTAGAATGGGATGTAGGTGGTGGGAAGGTCACACTTCTGAAGGCTCCCTTTTATCCAGTTGATGAAAAATAAAAAAATGAATCTTAACCAGGGGCAGGGAAAAGTTAATTGGAACGATGTGGTTTGTGTGCTACTCTGCCTCCAGACCATAACTCACATCAAGGGCCGCCTCCTGTGGTCACTTTGCAGCAGGCACTGTGCTAAGCAGGCTGGTTATAGCACTGACTCTGCAAGGGAGAGAATCTGACAAAGGATTGTCATCATGAAATGAGTTTTTCATCTCCGCTGAGCATATCTGGTGATGAGAGAGAAGCAATGATCTGAGGTATCAACCGTCCCTCTCTGCCGCTGGCAATGTGCCTCGTGCTTCTCCCATGTGACACCTTCTCCCGTGCTTTGCCCCCTCAGGAGCATGAAAAATGTATGTAATGTTTTATTGGGGACAGTGTAGTTTTTATTTAGGTATGAAGCAGCTATTTCTGGAGCACATCCTGTTGACTTTATCACTTGCCGTGAGGTAGAAAGCTGAAATATCAGTGGCACATCTTCATTGCCTTGGGATCCCTAGTGCTCGTGGTGTGGATAGAAACACTGGCAATGAGATTTCTAGCATAAAAGCCTCTTGTGACTTGAGCTTGCAGGGAATGGATGGGCTTTGCAGTGCTTAACTGATTATAAAGCCAAGTGTTCCCAAAAATGGCATTAGGCTTTGGGAAGGCTTGGTATGGCACAAAGCTGGCAGTGCCATCTCCAGCTCCCAGAAGAGTGTGACAATAGGATCTATAAATGACCTTTGCTGGGTTCAGGAGAAGAGCTAGCACCTCGCTGAAAAGCAGGGAATGATCCAGAAATGCGACTGCCAACCTACTAATAATATTGCTCCTTGGACACAGTTGCTGGGATATTTCATTTGTGTATCTATCCCAGTGTTTCTTTCTGGTGTATTTTCAGACCCTTCTCCTTAATCTATCTCACTGTTTGTAGCTGAATTTCTAGCTCAGGGTTCCTGGGGAAGCAGAGCTGCAGCCCCCAGGATGGTACCTGACGAGGCAGGTTTGCTTTAGCCAGGTCAAACATCCAAGTACCACATCTTCCTTCCTTCACCCAACCCTAAAATGACAGCTAGTGCCCACCAGACCTAAAAGCAGATCATCTTTTATCATCTCCTAGATACTTAACTGAATTAAACTGTTTGGCAGTGCCATGCTCTGGAGATGGATCTGTCCTGTTCTTTGAGCCCTGTGGCTCTCAGTCCAGCTGCTTGGTCTGGCAAACATTAAACTAATCCTAAAAATCCCTGCTTCTTAACAAGCAAAGTATGCAGCACCTAGATGGAAATTTAATGAGGGGATGCTGAGGAGCAAAGCTGACTGAGCGGTGACCTTTCCTCTGAGGTGAGCCAGACTGAGCCCATCCTGAGGCACTGGGATTAATGAGCGTGTTGGTTCCAGCCAAAAGCAAATGGGCATTAGTTCTATCACAGGACTGTTTTATTGGGATGCAAATTTCACAGTGCTGAACTCTGAGCTCAAGAGAAGACTTGAGCTGAACCAGGACAAAGAATCATTGAATTATCTGCAATTCCTACCACAGGCACGCTCCGGGGTCAGGGCTGGAGCAATCTATCCGAGTGTGGGGCTGGCCATCCGATATGATTTAGCAAATAACTCATTCAAGAGGAGTAGGGGGGTTCTGTATTTATACAGGTTTGCAGCAGAGTCATCTATGTACATTATCCTGGGCTGCATCCAAGGCAGTGTGGGCAGCAGGTTGAGGAAGGTGATTCTCCCCCCTCTACTCCACTCTGGTGAGACCCCCACCTGCAGTGCCGCATCCAATGCCAACTTTTCTATTGTTCTATGATTTTAGGCAAAAGAAAAAACGCAAGAGCTTCTTTGTTAGCACAGCTTTAAGGTACTTCTGAGCTTGACACTGGGAAACAGGAGCAGGAGATATCTCTGGAGGTTCCAGAGCTTCCTTGGTGGCTCCCTGCAAGGGGAAGCAATGCCACCAACAAATAAGGTTTGGGGGGAGTGGGGCATTGCATGGCAAAAAAAAAAATAATAAAAAAAAGAATAATAAAATCATTTTTAAAAAATTCCAGCCTGGGACTTGAAGAGATAGAGGGGACAACACTGATAACAAAAAGAAACTTTGAGGTTAATGCATGAGGTATAGTGCTGAAAGTAGAGGGATGAAGGAGGAAAGCAATGTAGATATTGGTCTTCATGCACTGACTTAGTCTGGAAAACTAGTACAGGGGGAAAATCCTGCAGTTGCTGGTATTAACCTCTTAAAATAGCTTAAAAAATTGAATCTATGAATTTGGTGCACATTTAATATTGGCCTTGCAAGCATACTAATACTTAAAAAAATAATATCTAGGAACTGCTTGTGTGTCATTGACTTCCATTCGTGGGACATCCATACCAGAAAGGAGGTGACCCCTTGACAAGAACCTCTTCTTTTAGGGTCAGAGGTTCTTAGGGGTTTACTATGAGTCTTAATTTACTGCAGACCTTGTTGGGAGATGGCAAGAGCTCAGACAAGAGGATCAGAATAATCACCTTGGGCCTGTTTGTCTTTCTGTGTGAGTAGTAATTATCTTCTCTGTAAGCCTCTCCTGGCTTTAGGCTGGGTTTAAAAAAAAAAAAAAAAATCTCCAAAGCATCTAAGTTAATGAAATTACTAATGCATTTAAGAAATAAAATTGCTCCATGTAGGGTCAAGTGAGTCAGTGCTCCGTGCCCTGGTGGATGCTCTGGCACATTGCTGTCTGGGCAATGCCTGGACACAGAAACTGCTCCAGTATTTCTCAAAGGCACTGAAGCGTGGCCTGTACACGGTTTCATGTTCTCAATGCCTAATTAAGCACGAGGTCCAAGGTTTTGTGGAGATGATCTACAGGTCTGTGTCTGAGCTGTACCACGTGCCTGTTTCCTCTAACAGGTTTCAGCTCCAGAAATCCAAGTCGCTTTAGTTTTACACGCGTTCAAGGAAGCCGTTTAGGTGCAGCAGGGCTCCGTGGTGGGAGTCAGGAGATGTTCTTGGGTCTCACAAAGATTAATCTGCTCTTTTAAAGTGCTAATCCTTTCGTCTAAGTTGCTGTGAGAATCCTAAACGCCTTTCCATTGCACTCCCTTTACCCAGATACACAAATCTAGTCAGGGAAAAAAAATCTTCTTCCAGCAGCGAGGAGCGAGTCGTTTTTGGTGCAAGCAGAATCCATGCAGGTTTGACACGAGTTTTCAGCAAGGTAACAGGAATTAAAGGGCACATCATGATGAGACATCCAGATATCAGGATTCTTAATGCCACAGTGTAAATAATCTCTTACCACTCCATTAAATGAGAGGCTCTCAGGGCATGCAGCTATTGTTAATGACTGCCTCCCTAATCCTGACTTTCACGGTGTGCTAATTCAAGGTCTCCCGGTGTTTTCTGCAGAACACAACTATTTTCCAGTTAGGACTGCCCAGGGAAAGGGTTGCTGGACTGAAATGCACAATGAGAGGCCACTGTGTGCAATGAATCCCTGTGGTCCCTGCTTAGAGATGCTTATTTATCCCACTTGAAGATAAAGCTGCTGCTGTGAGGATGGGGAAAAATCCTTTTCCAGGTTTAACTAGAAAGAAAGAGGAAGGCATGTTGCTAACAGACAGAAATGTCTCCATTATTGGCACAAAGCTGAGTCCAAAAGTCCTGGATTTTTTGGAAAGATGTTGAACTGCTCCTATAAAGACTTGATTTTAGACACTGTCAGCACCCCCAGTAAGTTTTTATTTCTGTGGAGCAATTAAACAATTATGTAAAAACTAGTTAAACCCAGCAAATATTTGCAGTGCAAATATTTTCCTTGGGCGGTGCTGTGACTGAAAGTAGTGCAACACTGGAAGCAAGTTGATAAATGCCATTCATTTAAAATTGCAATTAAAGAGAAACAAACACTCTTCATCTGATGCTTGGAAGAGTTTCCCACAGATGGTCAAAACTGTCAGCACATCTTGAGGGTGTTCTTTGCCACGCAGTGACAATTGTGGGGCCCTTCCTGCCGAAGGAAGATGAGAACTTTGTCCCCTCATTGCACTATGCTGTGACACCTCTTTTCACCTTTCAACAGATCCAGCTCTT